TTACCTCCCATTGTACCTCACAATTACAAGACTCCATATGATGCAGATTATTACTACTATGGAACCAGGAATCCATTAGATCCTCATCTTCCTCACAATCCAAGTAATGTAACTATCTGTTTCACAAATATGTATTTACTAAATGTTTCTTGTTTTTATCCACATTTTTTTAGACTTATGTTGTTGATTATTGCTAGCAGTTTTTAAAGCAGACAACGACTGGTTTGATTTCAGTGTGGTGATGTTTAGATTGCTGGAGTTGAAAAACGTGTTGCTATCCAGTTTGTGTAAAGTCAACATTACAAAGAAACTGCAACAACCTATTAACGAAATTAAAATAAACCCTTACATTTACTGTGATAGATGACCTGCTGCACTTAACGCAACTGTCACCTCCATGCAAATCATATGAATGTCGCTTTAAGCTTCAGAAAAGCTTAAAGCAACATTCATGAAAACAGTAATGTTACTGTTTCTCCTTTTCTACAGCTGAAGGCAACATTAATGATAATACTATATGCAAGTGGTGTGTTTGGTTACAGTTATTTCTTTTCTATTTTAATATTACTGCCAAATTCCTGCTCTTTATTTGAGCTTTGTTTGTGGCAGTCAGTGGCAGCAGATAGTTCATGAAGCTCTTGAATCGTGTGCATTCTTTATCTTATATTTTTGTATTTTCTACATCAGATGGTCTGCCCGGGGGGAATCGGCAGTCTGAGAATTCCAAGATTCTGTCTCAGAGAACGCGTCCTCTCAGATCCAGTGGCCAAAATGAGTCAGTGACCTTCCCAGCACCTTTGGAGTTTTTTTTTGTAAAACATGTTAATTTTTTCAGCATGTTGATGTTAATATAGATTTTATTCAGTAAAGCTGCATTAAATGCCCTTATCTCTGCTAGCAGCAACCCAGTAGATCTTTTCTCTCTTCCGGAAGAGGGTCTTCACAAACTGAATACTTATCACTACCTTCTGTACTTATATCTCCTTGCCATTTGCTACTCTGTCTGCTTCCAGAGAAACTCATCAACATGGAGCATCTGCTCTGGTTTTTGAAGAACTTCATGCAGAAAAGTCAAAGCAGAGGAGAGAGAGTGTACTGAGCTACCAAGAGACACTCAGACAGCAGGTACATTGTTATAGCTCCATGAAGAAACCACATGTTCTGTTATAGCGGTGTCATGGTTTCATCCTTTGAAAATTGTGTCTGGGGCCCAGATTAAAGAAAGAGAGGAGCATAGAAGACTAGAGAAAGAAGAAACAGCACGACTCAATGCCAAGATACAGGCTGAGATGAGGGCATACAACCCCTGGGGGAGAAGTGGAGGAGGAGGCGCTCCAATTAGAGACCAAAAAGGCAACCTTGTTAGTAAGTTTTATTGTAATGGTGTTCGCCGGAGGCCAGATAATTTAATGTGTTTGATCAACAGATATTAATGTAACATGTTTTAATGAATGTTTTGCTGCCTTTAGGTGACCTGAATCACATGCACAGGATCAATGAGGCATCATATAGGAATCCTGTGCCCACTCCTGGCACTGAAACTAGTTCTCCCATTTCCCATCGACTAACAGGTAATGTTATCTTCCTAATATTTCAGTGGCTGTGCATTTTATATGCTTTGTAGATCTATAGCTTATGGCTTTCTGTCTTTTCTGTTTTAAATTGTTTTCACCTTTACAGGTTTCAAGGATGAGACACTTCAACAGCAGGACAGTTACAGAGCAGCCCTGAAACAGCAGGTAGGTCCCGGGGCCTCAGTCTGTAGATGGATGATAGGAGAGGGTACTGATCAACTGCAGGATGAAATGAAATGCTTTTAGACTTACAGCAACCTGTATTCTCAGCACTTTAAAAAAGTTGTAAATTAACTGTAACTGTGCATTTCAAACAGATAGAGGAAAACAAGAGAAAACAGCAAGAGGAAAGAGAACAGATTAGAATTGAGGAGGCGAAAGAAGAGAAGAGGCTGGCCATGCAGAGGGCACGCTTACAGGAGGAATATGAGGAGGAGCAAAGGAAAGAGAAAAGGAGGACTGAGGTGATGAGCTTGTTTCTTTTATAAAGAGTCCTTCATCATTTCTCCTTCTTTATAGTTTTATCTACTCTCTGCAGCATAAGCTGAAAAACCAAGGCTGGATCCATGAAGCTGAAACACATCGCCAGAAGCAAGAAAAGGTGGTGATGCAGGAAAACGAGACTAAGAAGGTACCTCAGACCACCAGGGTGGAGAAAGACTCACGGTTGAATTATGAGGTACAGTAAGCACGAAAAGACAGGAGTGCTATAGCTCGCTGTGTCTTTGTCAAAGAATGACATTTTACTTGTTGTCCTGCAGAGGCAGCCCTCTCCGCCTATCCCAACCTTGCAGAAAAAGCTGGCAAATCTTGCGCCATATAGGCCCTCCTCTGTTTTGAGCCAGCGGTCATCCAGAACTGTGAGTAACTCATTGCAAAGATTGCAAATATTTTCACATTTTGCCCTTTATGATAACTCTATAATAAAAAAACATGCATTCACAGAATCGCTCAGTGTCAGCACCGCACCACCGACCACCCGATGAAATTCCCAGCCAGCAGGGTAAGATTTGTCTTAACCTGTGTGCGTGCAAATCATAAACATTTATTTTTCTGATCCTTGCTCTGCCTTCACTCCCCTGTCATGCTTCAGATGATCAACAGGAAGTAATCAGAAAGCTGTCAGCCCTCCGTGGTTATCTGAGGAAAGAGCAGCGACAACTGGAGGTTCAGATGGGTCGCACGGATTCACACGAGACCCACTACAATCTGGTAAACAGGTACAGCAGTCAGGCAGCACTGAACAGCAGGGGGATGTGTGCAGGTATAACAGACCCAAAATAACAGGGATTTCTATCTTTTGTGCCAGGCTTACAATCAGTCATTTAGAGACGCTGCTATGTTGAATTTAACCCAATTAACCCCCAGATGTTGTGAAGTGAAGACACAATACTAACTCTGGGCTGTTAAAGTGTGATCTTGATTTGATATTTGTAGTGAAGTATGTATTACTGTGCTTGGAAAAAATGAAGTGACCCATGTCTTTCCTCAGTGAATTGCTGTGGAGCACTACAGTAACCATGTTGCTACTTAGAATATTCTCAACCCATTATTACCAAGCCCAGCACGATATGTCGAGTAACTGCATCCCTCCCTGCTAAATTACAGGAATGTTTTACAAGCCACTTGTTAATCTGTGCTTGTATTCAAGTTTACAGCAAATCATCTGAGAAATGCCTTTGAACTGGTGCCAGTCTCTGGGCTTTTCTTTTGTCACAGACTGCTCACACAGAAGGACCAGCGCTTTAGGGAACATAAAAGCTTTGGAATGTATTCAGCAAGTACAGGTCAAGCGTAATGCCCTCATTGTTTTATAGCAATGCAGAATTAATTTATGTCACTGCAGGGACAGTGCAGCAGGTGGAGCTAAATGGTATAGTTACTGTGCACAACTAGAAAGCATTTGGCATAGTGAACTGCTGCTACGTTTTCAGACAGACATCTGTTTGTTATTAGAGGTAGTTGTTCTGTTTAATTTGGGATTTTCCTCCTTTGCTCATGTGTAGAAGACGACCGAGGGCGGAGGGCCTTAAATCTGCACATAGAGAAGCTGTCCTGTCTTCAGCTAGGAGTCCTTCTCCAGTTGATGCACATGCTAACAGGCAAAACATCAGGGAGTTCATCCAGCTTAAACACAGAGGTAATAAAAGACACAGCTTTGGCACAGCTTTTAATGCTTCTTTGAACCACTGTTGTTCTTACAATGTACCAACCTGAAGTAAGTCTGATTTAATTTTCATTGCACAAATAATAATAGATTCAGGAATGTATTCACGGGAAGAGGCTGGCAAAGGAAAAAGTGGGATAGTCGGAGAGCTGAAGAAAAGAGTACTGGAAGGCTAGGCGCACAGCAAAGAGAGAGGTGGCCCTGGCAAAGGAAAAGGCTTGTAGTGAGTTGTATGTGAGGCTGGACACTAAGGAGAACATGACTTGTAATGAATGACTAGGCAGAGAAATTGTGCTGGAAGAGATGTCCACCAGATTAGAGTGATTAAGTATAGAGGTGGAAATGTGCTAATGTGAAGAGAGTGGGTTGAGAAGATGGAAGGAGTACTTCGAGGAGCTCATGAATGAAGTTAATGACAGAAAGTGGATGAAAATGGAGTTAGAGAATCAGGAAGTGCACAGAATCAGCAAGGAGGAAGTGAGGGCAACTCTGAAGAGGAAGGTGATGGGAGACATCGAGAGGTCTAGGAGCGAGGGCCGTGGACTTTTGAACAAGAGTGTTTAACACAATCTTGGAGAGTGAGGGGATTTCTGAGGAATGGAGATGAAGTGAAACCGTACCACTTTTAAAGAACGGGGTTGATGTGAAGAGAGTAACTACAGAGGAATAAGATGGAGAAGTGTAGAGAAGGACTGATTGAGTGGCACTCTGTGGATATCATAGGGTGCCTAGACAGGAACTCTGGTGCTGCATGAGGAAGTCCTGAGGGGCGGAGAAGTATGTGATGGTGGTGCAGGGCATGTAGGACAACAAGACAATAGTGAAGTGTGCGGTGGGAGTGACAGTTGGGGGGTGAAATTACATCAGAGATAGGCTCTGAGCCCCTTCTTGTTTCACTGGTGACAGAGAGGCTGACAGATGAGATCAGGCAAAAGTCTCTGTGGATGATGATGTTTGCAGACGATCACAGAAAAGATTCATGGATGAAGTGAAGGAGGACATGCAGGGGGTTGCTGTGACATAGGAGGATGCTAGAAATGGGGAGATGGAGGCAGATGATCCAATGTGGCGACCTCTAAAGGGAGCTGCCGAAAGAAGAAGAAGAAGAACAAATACGTCTAATAATGCTTTTCTTTTATTCTCAGTACTAAGCTACATAGAGGAAGTCAGTGTTGATTCTGTTTACAATCACTTTGGTCATGCTGTTCTTGTAAGTGTGGAGGACACCAAATGGTTTAGACTTTTAACTAGTGCTCTATCTCCCTTTATCTAAACCAAAACTTTAATCTCATGAGGTCATTTGAGGCCTCGGTCAGTGACGGACAGTTTGCCCATGTGTACAGTGAATCTCATGTAAGCTACCAAAGAAATGACTGGATGTGTTCCCAAACTGGAGTCTGAAACACACTCAGAGCTGCAAGCCGTAAAACCAACAAAAGAGGATAAAGGACTAGATGGTTTTTTTTGGCTTCACTAAACACTTTTTTTGCTCTGTGTTTATTATTTTACTGATGCAAATATTTAATTTATTAGTCAATTGCTTTGCCTAGAGCTGCCCTATAGTAACAATCCCTGATGTGACGTAGCTTGCTTTTATCCTGCAGGTACGACATCTCGTGAGGAGGTTCGAACCCTGTACCCTGACCCTCCCGCAGACACACAAAGTCTGGACATTCAGCAGCAGGCCCTTCTACGTGAACAACAGCACAAAATCAGGCTAATGAGGAGACAGGAAGATGGTCAGTGAGCAAATACAAATCAGTTTCACCTCAAATGTTTGTCCTCTAACTCCTCCTTCTGTCTTCCTCTGTAGACTTCTTGGGCCGTCAACTAGGTCATTATTATCCTGTAAGTGATCAGCACATTACACAGTAACTATATTCTGCACTTTCACCCTGGCAGATAATTCAGTCTTGCATGGCTTAATTTTGTTAATTGTAGAGATTTTATTGTTTTCTGTCTGCATTTGTGTCTCCTCCCAGATCAAGAACCCTGGACGTGCCACTCACAGAAACCCCATATTGCCATCAGAGAGTTCTTTTATTGGTGAGTTTGGCAGAATATGGTCCGTCTGTAAAAACAGTCTTTCTCATTTATTTCCCTTCTTGTGTTCACATGACTGGGGACACAATAGACTTTGAAAAAAAATCCCAAAAGCACCAGATGTTTTACATAAAGGTGACACGGTTTGGGAAGTCCTCTACATACAACCTCATAATACCTTTCTACGACACTCTGTGTGCCAGGCCAATTTAGCTCTTGGTTTCTCTGCCAGGCTAACTGTGGTGCGTGCCAGCCAGCTGTCTGTGTTGCAGCTGGTGCCAGTGCTAGTTGCAAGGTGACTACGCCAGCTGCAGGGTGGTGATAGCAGACTCCCAGAGCACAGGCAATTGGTACATTAGAGAAAAAAAGACTGATGGCTTTTGAATACTTTTCAAGCTCAGGGTTTTCTCACTATTTTCATATTATGCATGGATAAACGGAATAAAGTTTAGGTCCCTACCATCTGTTTGGCTGTAAAGACATTTGCAATTAATGATACATGGCTATTGGGTTTTTGTCAGGTTACAGTGGTGAGGCACGTGAGCAGAGATCCCTTCAACCCTCAGCAGAGCACCAGGAGAGGACGGCACTTAACTATGATGTATGTCTGATATGCATCTTGTGTTTTACTAAGATCAAAAGGATCACCATCATTAAGATATCAAAGCTCTGTATATATTTACAGGAGGTGGCTGACAAGGGGGGTGATAATCTGCCAGCAGTACCCAGTCACAACAACCAGAACAAATGCCACATTACGAGGCCAGACTCCCACTCTGGTGATCACAGCGTAAAAGGTAGGACGAAAGAATTCACTACAGGAAGCATTTAAATGATCAGGCTTATAACTAGTATAGCAAGTGGGAGCTAATCTTAAACACCGTATAAATTAGTGAAACATAAAAAGCGTGCCACTTTATATACTTGTTGGCTTTTAGCAACATGTGCAAATTTTAAGCGTTTTTTAGTATCATAGAAAAAAAAAAGTGATGGATATGCCCCTGTACCCTACAGACTGGCTGCCCGGTGATGAAGAGGACATGTCGTCGCTGGGCTCTGCCATGGGGAGGCGTGTCTCTGTGGACACTGTTGCCACGGAACTGTGGCTGCGGCCTGGAACGTCAGACGCTGTAAAGCAGTGAGGCTGTAGCAACAGGATAAACAGGCGGATGGGAGCTCCACACAAACTTAAACACTGCATTGCACAGCTCCCATTGGTGGCTCTCTAAACTGGAAATGCACAGCCACCTTTTCTGCAAATGCAGGTGGGGGTTCTCATGAGAACTGATGTCCTTCCTGTGCAGTGCTTTACTGACTTACACTTTACTTGTGTGCTGTTTCTATTTGCTCTCATTGGAGACCAGAGTCTGTAAAAACATTGACTATTAGATCACAGAAGAAACAGTTAATACAAAACTCACTGTGGCCAATTCCTCTTTACCTTCTACATTTAGCACATTAGCATTTTGTAAAGGTGGGATTCAGTTAATGAATAAAGTCATGGTGTTTTTGAGCAATAAAAATGTTACTGTAATGTTGTCCTGGCTGATCATTATTAAACAGCTGGCAGCAACTGTAATTCAGTGATTCAGCATTTCAAATCAACCAAGTTCAAAAACTTTATTGACCTAGAACCTGATTAGAATGCCAGATGATGTATTGTACAGAAAGTTGTACATATTCTTTTGCAACATAGAAAACTTTACATTGCTGTATCATATACATTTGTTTTCTACATCCATGAGCAGGAATGCACCCCAGTCATACTTAAAGCACAGCTAACATTTGTCATTTTCTCTATACATATATCTTTCCCCCAGACCAAAGAAAAAAACCATTAAATATATTATTAACTTCTGATTTTTATACACAAGAGTGAAAACTAAACTCACATGAAAACAGACTAGTGACTCAAAAAAAGCAGCTAGAATCAGTTTGCTGTCGTCTTCCAGTTATAGAAGCCCCGTTATCGTCTATTTCGGTTAAAAACCTCATAACATATAAAATGGAATAATTTAACCCATCACTTTCCGCGGTCTTAGTTTAATTACAAATCGTACTGTTTAGGACAATCTGCAGGAGGTGGTACAGTCAAATAAATTATCACAAAAGTAAAATCTCCAGTGCATTTGAAAAACAAAAACAAAACAGCTCAAGTGCAGCAAATCCAGAGAAGGAAAACAAATTTAAACAAAAATAAAAGAAATTTAGTGTTTATAAGATTATATTACACAACGGCAGATCAGATCTGTACAACTAGTATCATCCAAGAGGCTATCCATACTAATGTTAGCCATCTGCAGTGCAGACAGAGAGATCATTACTATCAACGTGTGACAAACGTCACTGTCATAGTTGCAGAATATGTCTTTTTGCATGTTGCTGAAACCATTCATTCTTTGTTTTAAATATACAGTAAGAAGCACACCTTTTTTTTTTTTTTATATCTTCCTTCTGAGCAGATCAGATATGGATAACTGTCAGTTGGTTATCAGTAGTTTTATCCAGTAGAGGCATCGCTACACATGGTACAAGACATGTTTTTATAGTGTTAGCAAGGACTCCGTCTGGGCTGTTTGTGTGTACAGGCGTGTCTGTGTGTGTGGTGACAGGGTTAAGGGAGCGGGTGGATGTTAACAGATAACTGACTGACAATCAGCCAATTTTAAATCAAGTGTTCGGCATAAAAACACACCGAGGCCCCTGAGGCAGCACAGAGCACCAGCACGGCCATGCGAATCTACGACGGAGGCCTCGGTAGAGCTTCGTGCTCCAGGCTGTTTGCGGTGCAGCGTCACTGGGCCTCCTCCCCAGCCTCCTCCCCAACCTCCTCCCCAACCTCCATGTCAGTCTCTGGCTCACGGGCCTGCTGAGGCTCTGGCAGCTGTGCAATGTTAAACACGATGCCGATACGCAGGTAAAACTTTCTTAGGATAGCTCGGAGCTCGGGGATCAGGTCGAACTGCATGATCTCACACAGAAGAGGGTAGTATCTGGATGCATGAGCTTTGAACTACAAGGTGAGATGAGAGAGCAGGAAGAGACAGAGGAAGACAATGAGAAGTTAGATCTTTAAACACATGCTCATATTCTTTTTGCCAACATGCTGCTGATGAATGCAACACTCTACAATCTCTTTGCATTAGGGAACATGACTTAACTGGCTGCCAATTGGTTGTAATCTGGTCATATATTTATATATGAAAGCAAGGTTGCAAAGTGTTTGTGTTCTTTTGCAGTCAAATTGCATCAAATTTTGTGGAGGACTTTCTGAATTTTTGATTCAGATGTATGAGGTTCTGGTTGGACTCTGAGCATAAGGTGGCATAGAGGGCAACAGATCTTTCCCCCAATTTATCACCAACACATTGCATGTAAATACCAATTTGACCCCATTTACTTGCAAACAGACCATAGTCTAATTCTGTCACGTTTCCATTTTATTATCATCTTCATGCGCCTCTGACTGCAATGGTTTGCAGACCAGGTCTCCATCTTTGAAGCATCTATTTCAAATGCAGTAAGATGAGTTCATTTCACTTGATTGTAATAATTTTGCTGTTATCTTCAACCACCATTTCCCATACCATAATACTCAAGGAAAACATGATGATGAATGTAGTGGGATTAAGGTTTAGCCTGCTCAGTTTTGTTTGTTGTATGCCTAACAGGATATGTGCAAGCATATGTAACAGCACACATGGCCAAAAATATGTTTGTTTTGCCTCCGACACCAACAAAATACAAAAAAAATATAAGTATTAAGTATTAAGCTACATCACACGTAGCCTTCAAAGGTCTTGTCTGTGTGTGCGCAGCAGCGAGGAAGAGCATCAGTGGGTGTTTTGGCTTCTTACCCTTTCATCATTGATCTTTAGCACCTTGGTGAGGAAGAGCAGCAGCAGGTTGGTCCACGCTTCTCTGTGGCTTTCTGAGGTCAGGGCCAAGAAGTATGCTACAGCCTCGCTGCACACGCTACACGAAAGAGAAGAAGAAATCTGGATTAACACACCGAACAGAACAAGCCTGGAAGTCAAATATGAAGTCAAACATAGAAAAGTGCTTCTGATTCCTGTGTTGTTTTCTAACGTACTGTAGCAAGGCAACATCTGCATCCCCCGCCTCACTTGTCACATGAAAAATTGCTGCGAGGATGATGAAGGTTGCTCTAGCTCAACGACTGCTAATTAAAACCCCCGACTGAGGCTGGTATGAAAACAATTGGATGTTTTTCTCCACACTTAAAGCTCAAGGAAAACTGAAGCCACCTTTTTGTCTTTGATCCTGCAGCTGCCTGACAACATCCACTTCCTCCTCTCCTCCCTCCTTCACACTCACAGCTCTCCCGCCTCTGTGACTTAATGGCCACCCAAATCTGCTTTGGTCCCTGCGCTAATCAAACTAGCATGTGAGCTGCGTGGCCTCTGGTAAACAGAAAAAGTGCTTGTGTGGAGTTCAGACATAAGCCTGTGCTGCTGATGTGGTGTTTTAAGTGACACACAGCAGCATTTCAGTGAATTAGGATCTGCATGCAGGCACTAGCCTCCTCCACCCGCATCCATTCTTATCTCCTCTCTAATAATGAATGCAACTAGGAGAGACGAGCAATGATTCTTCTTCATTTTGACATCATCATCAATATGAAGGCGAGGCAGGGAGAGAAATGGGATGACAGCAGTGTGTGAGGCGTTGAATAAAGACAGTGTGATGACAGCAGTGCTGACTGAACAATGAAACATCTTATGCGCTGATTCCTTTGGATCCAAACATCACACAGCATCCACTTCAGACAACCTCAAAGCAGCTAACATGCTGGGCCTTCGCCACAAGTAACCGACTACAGTTACCGAAATCTCAACAACCCTCCCCAATGTCATAGCGACAACAGAACAGCCCTTTCCTTCAGACGTCTTGGGCTTCATTTGACCAATAAAATAGTTTATAACTACAGAATAAATGCAAATAGACTCACGTACATTTAGACGACGGGTTAAGCCAGTCCTTTTCCTTATAGCCTCTAATAGATTACTATAATAATATTGAGCCAATAATAAGATTTGGGATGTTTATACTCAGCTCCACTGACTGCCTCAGTAGATGTAACGTTACCGCTGCCCATCAGGATAGCATGCGGTCCTTACTTGAGCAGTCGTCTCTGGACCTCCTCCCAGGCGTCCCGGCGGCTCTCGTCTGTGTACATGCGAAACAGGATGCGCAGCCCACATGCCAGGCTGCTGGTCTCCTGCTTCAGGAGATTGGGCTTCGACTTTCCTTTGAAACCTTCAAAATGAACAAACGCAAGCAAGTCTTTACAGCTCAGCATATTAAAGTTTTCGAGTTTTTGTCTGTCAAACCTAAAGAGACTCGAAACAGACTTGGTGTTACTGTAATTTTTGACTACATGATCAAAAGCAAAGGAGAAAAGATGGAGCCCATGTTCTCTCGCCCTACCTGCTTTCCACAGCAAGGTTCTTTGCTCGTTGTTGGAGTTGAAAGCCTTGGCAAAGTGGTGCGAGTCCAGCAGGCAATCCAGCAACTTAAAAAGCTGCTCAGAGGTCAGGTAGCGATACATTCCCTGGTCCTGGGTCTCCACGGAGACGTCTACTGAACACACAGCATCCCGCTGCGAAAAGACAAATGAATGATGCATTACTTTGTAACACAAAAACAAAACACGGCCGCATTTCTACGCAGGAGTGGGAGAAAACAGCTGTTTGTACCTGAGCAGCTGCAAAGTTCTCCGCATCTTCCTTCTTACTGGTGGCGGGGAAAAAGACGATGTTGTCGATGGTCTGGATCAGCTCCAGCTGCACGACGCACTTTATGAGTAAAGCCGAGAATAAACGCTGCTCCTGGATCTCTGTGGGATACGCAAGGAGGGGGAAGTTAATCAGAAAATGTACGCAGGCAAAAAACACACAGGGGTCAAAAATCTCTGAGTGAAGTGGCAGACTGACTTGTTTGGGTCCTACTCCTTGGACCGTCCTCGGTCACGCCTGAGGCTGAGCTGTACTGACTCTGCCGACGATTCTCCATCGCAGCTCTGTCGGAGCTGCTGATGGAATGCTGGTCATCAGAGCGCGACTGGATGTCCAATGACTTCTGGGAAACTGAGTCCTGGGAGCAAAGTAAACAGAGGTACTGCTATAATGCAAGAGCTGTACGTGTAAATCAATCAGTTATAGAAAATCTAACTTGTGTTCTCGTTTTAAAAAGGAAAGCAAAAATGCAACAATTTCATCACCTGCAACAAGCACAGGAAAGAAATAATTAGTGATATAAATGAAAAGTACCAGCTGTTTGTCAGGCAGGCTCTGTGTTGATAAGTGCTCTCCCTCTGCCCCCGCTGGTCTCCATGTTAAAAGCCTTTGAGACAGGAGAATTAGTCATTCAATAAAACCCAACAAATTCATCTTTTCATGCAGGGTAATAAACAACATCCAGCTTTCATTATAGAAAAGTACCAGAGACGGCCGGCCGATTAAACCAACCAAGGTCTTAATTTAAAATCCATTATGATTTTTAACTTAATTATACATAATCTGAAAGAATGTGATTACACTGAATTGAGAGTGAAACATTAAAATCTAGACGCACAAAGCGAAAAATTAAGACTTTTATTCTTTAATTCGATCTGCCGCTTTCATTTTGCAACTAAGCACTGCTATAAGAATAACCGCAGGGATTAAATGCTGCATTCAAAAGCATGGGTGTGTTTTTGGCAGCAGCTTACGCGTGTGGGATTGTTGTCTTGAAGATGTCCAGCATGCAGTTACATGTCTTGTCCCAGGTTTCTGGGGAAAACTTCTCTCCATTAAGGATGACCACATTCTCTAGACAGTTTGTGCCTGAACGGGCGAGCTGCTCATTATCTGCAGAAGAAGAAGATAAGAGGAGGATGAGGAGGAGGAGGGGGAAGAGATAAGGAAACGGTGAATTGGAGAGGAGAGATGTTTCCTTATATTGCAATACCTAAGGGACTAACTGTGCAGCTAAACTACTTGACATTGACAGAAAGGGGGTTTTCACTGGTCTGGCCCACCTAAGTGAGCTGCACACCTCCCTGCCCCTTTATTCTGCCACTTTTTAGATAATTCTGCCTGTAAACATTAGCCAAAAAGAGGGATGTGCACTCACCTTGCTGCACACACCAGTAGAGCTGAGCAAGGATGTCATCCAGCAGGACGCCATTGAGGGACTCAAAGTATTGGGTGAAGACATCGCAGATGGCGTAAAGTGCGTGGTTGCAGGTAGTCGTCATCCACTCTGCTTTCTGAGGGCGCAGTGAGAAGGTTTCAGCATGAGACCAAAAACAAATATACCGGGAGATTAAAGATTGTGCTCTGACATTTTCCGAGTGCATCTGGCTGAGCCGTTCAAACACAGGATGTGAAGCAGAGGATGTGGATGAAAGCGTTATTGTGTACCTCAGTCTGTTGCTCGGGCAGCTTCATGTTGTCAAAGATCCTGAAGACAATTCTGAACAGATCCTGCCACCAGTGTTTTTCAAAGGTGTGCCCATAGGTCTTCATCACTTCAAACATCACTGTAAGCCCCCTGGGAAATACGCAGACACACACATGCACATTTTGTTTTTCTTAATACTATAGATGATGTGTTTTTAAGTCTTTAAAGTCTATAATCTAGCATTAACTCCAGCTGTGCAGCAGGACTATGCAGAAGCCCATGCAAATTTTCCATTTCCAATCAGCTGAAATGTGAAAGCGTTTTAAAAGCACACTTGTGCATACAGGTACCCACCCTATAAGCTCCTAAACAGCAAGCTAAAAGGTAAATCCCGCCTACCTGGTCCTGACATCCAGTTTACACCTGTTGATGATGCAGGAGAGCTCAAAGAGAATAGGGAACCAACCCCGCACCCACACACGGTCCTCGGGCGCTACATTCATATCATCACTGGTGTAGTCTTTGAAGGCCTGCCAGAGAAATATGAGTTCACCACTGCACCATTTCTGCCTCAGGAGACAATTAATCCTCCCACACATCCATACATATTTTGTTCATGCCCCTGGTACGCACTGCACATGTTCTCAAGTTATTACGTCAAGCACAAGAAGGTGGTGTTTTTTTGCAGACAGTAGTAGATGTAGGATAGATTACAGAACTACATATATATTCTTAATGCTAATGTCATGTATCTTAAATGCATTATCTTTAATAGTGTCTCTATATTGATGTCTTTGTTATGACTTGAATTTTTTTGCTGCTTCAACCAACCATTTATATTCTGACTATCTGAGCTGATGCACAAGTCGGTGCATTTTGCATCATAATCAATCACAACACGCCTCCCGTACAGTATTAAATTAAGCGATCTGTATAAGACGAGGACTCGTATTGACCTGTGGCCTATCTGAGACGTATTTGGCGCAGTGTCGGATGAGGCGGATGGCTTCCATGCTGGTGTCTGGGAATGAGGCATTGCAGGCAAACTCTGACAGACACTTCACGGCATCCTGGAAGGAGTCGATTGTAGCCGCAAAGTGCTTTTCAAATACATTCGCTAGGAGGCAGACAGAGGAGGGAGCAAAATTAGAAGAGTGGTGGGGGTACAGGGGAAGCAAATTAAATCAGTCTGCTGACTACAAGGGAAATGGAAGTGGTTAAGGATAAAATAAGTTGGAGAGGTTGTTGGACTTACTGACGATATGACCAGTGGTCTGGAAGGCCAGCTCCACGATGCTCTCATCTTGGTCAGAGGCAGCCAGGTGGAAGACGGAGAAGATGTTTTTCCATCCTGAACGGATGTTCGCTGCCTGGGAGTTAACCATCTGGGCGATACAGCGCACCACCATGTCTCGGATGGTGGGAGACCTGAATGGGAGACAGAGTAAAGAGGTGAGTGATGAAGCAGAAGGAGAAGGGGTCAAAACAAAGAGGAAAAAGAACAGGAAAGGAGGAGCCGCAAAATAGGAGGAATAAAGTAAACAAATATTTAGTATACCACATACATAGTATATGTAGTAACATCCTGTTATACAGTTTAAACCTTCTGTTTAAGGATGGAAGCCAATCAGAAGCAGTCTTAGGATATTTTCACACCAATGGTTTGTTTACTCTGGTCCAAATCAGTTGATGAGTTTATAAACTTGTAGCTTTTCTTTAGTTTGGCTTCTTAACACATACAAAAAAAAACTTACAGGTGTACTTGAAGTGTATTGATAGATGTGTCTGGGGTGAGAGCAACAAAAGTACATACAGGAAGAAGGTGCTGTGCTCTGGACTGCTGGAGAACATGCTACCCCTGATGCATCCCACAATGCTAAGCATACAGGATGTGACTACAGAAAAGCTTTTAACTTCAGCCTGTAAGGTGCACGTGATAGTTTGGTTGGATGGAGGTCGGATCACATCCACGCCATAAAGACACACTCTTAAGGAGAGGATGGCCTTAAAGGAATAAAAGCTAACATAGCTTGTTTCAGGCAGTGAATGTGTTAGAGTTATCACTGGGATGCCGGTGTGATAGCTGCCTCAGGACAAGGACTCCAGTCAGAGAGTGGGGCACAGAGAGTGCTTTCCAGATATACTTTAATGAACATTAACTGATTGAACAGCAGGCCAGTAGTACAGCAACTGGCATACTCAGTGAGAGTATAAGGGTGCGATGCAGACATACGCACCCGGTGCGTATGTCTGTGGTTCTAAATAACAAGAAAACAGGGAGAATAATTACATGACAAATATAACAACCATTACTTTTCAACATCATACATCAACAATAACTAAATGCTCTGGCTTAATGAAATCTCACATTGGCAGGAATATCTGCTTATCCAAAACAACAGAAAGGCCTAATATCTCAATATTAGCAAAGATCAGCAATTAGGTGGTCATCACAGCCCTCTAGTGGCCAAATAACCTAACTGATATACATGGATCTGACCTGTGTCAAAGGCTACATGCTTCTGCCAATATCAGTCGAATCTCCTAACATACTCCATATCAGGTACATGTCTTATAATGTGCTACCTCCTAATCTAAAACCCCTAAAGGATGTAAACAATATGTCAGAGTATAGATCAGTCTCCTCCTAGACCGCCTCAGTGGAGATGTATACTTTAGCAACATAATACCACAGACTTCTAACAACTTCCTGAAATTAACGTGTGTGTGTGTGTGTGTGTGTGTGTGTGTGTGTGTGTGTGTGTGTGTGTATATCCACCCTATTAATTTAGGAATTGATCCTTAGAGCTACAGAGGTTCTGAATCACACTGGAAATCGCTATTCCCCCGTGCTTAGCGCTCCTCGGACTCTTAGTACGGCTGGACTGTCGTAAAAGCATGTGACATCATCACCCAGCAAACAATAACAATGAAAGTGAAAAATAAGGAGACTTTCTGACAGAATGCATCGAGGCACAATATAAACTAAATAAGCATTATTTTGAACTCTGGATGACAGCAAAGCTACTCTAGAAGAGTCAAAGAAGAAAAACATGGAGCTGGTGCCTGCATAATTGGTCCCTTTTAAAGAGAAGAAAATGAATCCCGTCATTGATTTCAATTAGCTTTAAAGGCTCTTGATGACATCCACAGCCCTGTTCTCAGAGAGAATGATTATTCCAGCTTTGGCTAGAGTTGTGGCCTCAGTGAAGAGCAATCCTAATTGCTCCGTAGCTATGAATGAGAGAGGAGTTCTGCCTCCACTCACCATTACACACACCGACACAGGGGAAGGCAGCATGAACGAGCATGAGCGAGACACACTGCGCTGCAGGGTTTACGTGGCTGCCTGCCATCTCCTCTCTGTTGAAGCTCTCGGGCTGTTCAATCTGTGGGTGGATTTATACTTAAACTGCTACTCCTATTTCATATCAATGAAACGTGTGCTGTAACGAAACAGCTTTCCTCTTTGACGTGCCGCGCAGCAGCCTTTACGGGAAAATCGCTCTCATTTATAAATGATAGCTGCTTAAATTCCAGCCGAGATAGATTCGGAGCAAACGAGGAAAGAGAGGCTTTTACGTGAATTCACTGAAAGGGTAATGCAAAGAGACTGAAATGGGTCAGCTGAAATGCTGGGTTGCTACTCGTCCCCACGTGAGAAAGCAAACAACATGCCAACTCACTGCTACAGGGAGGAAGGAAGGGAGGCACAGAGCTGCAGATGAGGTTAAAGGGAGAGGTTTGAGTGCGTTATTTCATTCTGTGCATGCGCCCAAGAACAAGGGGCGATTCCTAACTTGTCTTTACACCACCAGGAACTACAGATTTCCACTTGCAGAGTTAACGTGATCACTCACTCACACATGATTGCACTCCTTCTGTACCTGTTCTTCTTCATGATGTGCTCAAAAGGCCTCAGGAAGTCTTTCTGGAATCTGAAGTTAGCCAGCTCCCCCTTTTCCAAAAACTTCATGGACAGCTGCCGAAGAGAATCCACCGCGAAAATGGCCACATCTTCATTGGGATTGCACCCAACCTACACAAAGACAGAACAATATTGTTAATACTGTATTATTTTTCACATTTTTTTATCCTAAATTCAGCGCATGATGTGCGGCTCTCTGAGAACACACTGTTCCTTTACTGAAAAGTAAGCCTCTAACATTTCTTGAATAAACTTTTCACATAACAGGCACTCCTTCGCCAAAATCCAGGTTGTAGCTGCGCTGTGAGACTCGAATCTTGGTGAGAGACGAGTCCTTGAATATCAAAATGCCAGAATTTGGCAACAATCGGTGTTTATCATTACAAAACAGAAAGTGGGAGAGAGAAGGAAAACAAGCCTTTGTAGCTCAGTTCCTGCAAACCTTTGGGATAGATTTTCAAACCAACACTTTATGGAGGAACAAAGCTACCAAAACATAAATTTAAAAAATTAAAGTTATATTGAAATATCTATAAAACCAGTGTCACTCACTTCCCCTGTCAGTGATCGTAATGTTGTGCCCGATCAGTCTATTAAGCTATGAGTTATCTAGTCCTCGCTCACCTTGTTAAAGTGGTCTCCAATAACCTCCCAGATCCTGGACCACTGCAGCCTGATGCGACCCATGTTGTAGTAGGAGATCTCCACTATCTTCTGCAGGCTGAACATACGCGGGTGTGTGGGCGAGGCCAGCTCATCCATGGACACGGCGCACAGCCAGCGCACGAAATCAACTGATGAACGGACAGAAAACGTTGGCAATGAAAAGCGGTTTGTGCAGGACGTGATTCATGCCAATTAAAAATAGCTAGCATGTACCTCTGCTTGTAAGCAATAAGGAAATTACATGTATAATAGTGGATCAGCTGGACTCACCTATTGCATTACCGTCCAGTCTGGTAGAACCTGTGAATATCCTGTACAGAAACACAAATTACTTAAGAGCTGGGCTGTATTTTCATTTCTTTTTACTCCAAAATAAAGGTAGATAAGAGGATGTGATCCTTGCTACGTTCATTTACTGCATGCTTCGTTTAAGGACGTTAAAGTCTACAAATAAACAAACAACAGCAGGAGGTGCATACCTGTCCACAGCCACCACCACACTCTGAGAGCTGGTCTCTCCGATGGACTCCTGAATGCTGGCAATCTGCTTACGGTCCACAGTCCCTCCAACTGCAGAGCAGAACACAGGTGGTTGTTAGGCTGATTTAGGCTTTAACGTTGGTCTTTGTGTGCACGATGCATTCAAATGATGATCGCTGACCTAGACCCAGGTACTCATCGCTGCTCTGCTCCTTCGTGCTCGCAATGAAGCCCTCTTTGCCCCGCACCGTCCCTGAGATGTAGCGTGCCTTGACCCCAGTACCAATCAGCTGAGCCAGCTCCAGCTGACTGATGCATTTCAAGATCTGCAAGGAGAAGCAACAGTGAGGTATTTGGAGGGGAAAAAAACAGATGCAGAAAGAAGTTAAAAAACAAGCAAGCGCAGCAAACTATCATATGTAGAATAAAGTGGGAAAAGGGTAACACCAAAATTCTACAAAATGTGAGCTATAAACAAAGTAAAGACAGGTCTCTGTTCTGTTCTAGATATACAAATTGATATCCCAGAGGAATCTGAGGCTCGGGAAAGATGATCATTTAAATATGAGATGAATTATAACAACACGTTCCTGCGAGCCAACACAAACGCCAGTTTCATGTGACATAAGTGGAGCGAACCTCATGCCAGGAGTTTCCCAGATAGTTTCCATCTGTGTGGGCCACAGTGATGAGGGTCTTGATGGTGTCAATGTTCTTCTGCTTCATTTCTGCAATGCCTGAGGTGGCTGTGAGCAGGGTGAACCTGGCCAGAGCCTGCACATACGCATCCCTCTCCAGCTGTGAGAGGCAAAACAACAACAATGCTTTGTGTCAACGTGCTGCCAGGTCTGTAATACGGTATGGCACTAGTCCTACAAAACAGATTGCAGTACCTGAATGGAGAAGATGCACGCGATCCTGATGGCACAGCGGATTCCTTCAAGACACAGCGAGGCCACCTCAGTGTCGTCGCAGTCCTGAAGCCCCACGCTGAAGGCGGCCAGGAAGGGCGTCCATGCCAGCTGAGGAAACAAACAAACAACAACGGCAAGGATGATTTGTTTGCAGCTGTGTCTGTGCACAGCTGTGTCTGAAGCACGTGTGCATGCGCTGGCGTTATTACCTTGAACATGGGTCTGACATGCTCCAGATGTGTGGCACTGGTGAAGGGAGCCTGCACGTGGCTGACGGCCTCCATCAGAGCTTTGGCCGTCTTAGCCATCTGCTCCATCTCCAAGTTGTACAGCAGGCGCCTCTGCTTCTCGCTGGCCACACCTGAGCAATAAACCCCAGACAGATATTTATTTATTTATTTATTTTCTTACAGAAAGTGAAAAAAACCCTGCAGCTTTTCTTTTAACAGCTGCCGCAAAGTGTAAATCAGAAGTGTTTTTCATAGAATAACTGATTTCTGATAGCTCCAAGCCTCATCCAAAACCATTCCAGCAACAACGATATCAAGTAATGACTCTGGATAATATCTACAATCTCCTTTTCCTCCAGCACTGAGACTCACTTTGCTTGTTGGATTTCATGGTGAGCTCTTTTGTCTCCTTCATGGCGATCTTTTTCCCCGCGATCTCGTCGTAGATGGCTGAGAGATATTCCTCAGGTAGGTCTTTGCTGTCATTGATGCCCCGGTTCATCTTGATATATTGCTCTTTTGTCATTTTATTCTTAACCTTTGCAGATAACAACAGGGATTCGGGTCAAAAGCTGCTTATTTAACTTCTGTGATTTACGCTGAACAGATATTTAAGGGAAGGACTGCTGTCTAAACACATCCCGAAGGCCGTTGCCTCACTGAGGCGGAGCGCTCACCTGTGGACTGTGAAGGTCTGTTGTCAACATAATGATTGAGTAGGCGAGGACATACGCAGTGTCAGCGCTGGCAAAGAGCGTTTGCCTGGGAAAGGGACAGGAAAGCAAGGGTAGGAGAGCAGATTAATTTAACAGCACGGTGTTTACTGACCACAGAGAACCAAACGCGAGCATTTCCAGAGTCATAAACTCACCCCTGGTTGCATTCAAGATATCTCGCTGCAAATTTCTCCATGAGCCGGTCGATTTTCTGGGCCTCTCCGGGCAGCCGAAAGCCCTCCAGGAACATCCTCAGCGCAGAGACAAAGTCTTTGCCCTGGAAGTCCATTTGATCCACGTAGGCGTACATCACCTCTTTATTGAAACGGTCATTATCCCCGAGGAATTCTCCCACTTGAGTCTGACAGAGCAAAAGAAAACAGCGGCTATGTGAAACGTGCCGCAACGTAAAACACATATTTAGCATTTGTCTGTGCTGGTTCTTATCTACTGCGTGTGTGGGAGAGTGTCTGAAATAGATTGAAGTTCTGAGATGAGATTTCTTTTCTAATGAGATGGAATGACCATAAATGTGCCAAAGTTTGTCTTTCTCTGGGAAATTTCTTAATATGCATGAAGCACCAAAAATACATTTGACAAACTCAGCACCAACATTTCTTTTCAGAAATAATCATGTGGGGTATTACCAGTTTTATGCAAACAACATTTTTTTCTACTGGAGCTACAAATGCCAATTGCATCAGGCGCATGCTAGCGACAGCAGGACAGGATGTAGACTTTAATAGTATCCTACTGTAGCTGATCTGGGCTCTGTACCACAAAACAGGTTCAACATCTTTCCGTTATATGGATCCACTTACCCTAACATCGGGACATGAACATGATAAAGTAACCCAGGCTTTATCAATCTAGCTGGGATATGATTAGCATGTTTACATCAAAGGGAAGTGGTGCTGGTAGCTGGTAAGTTATGTGTAAGAAACTGTATTTATCACTGATCCTCATCGTTAGACCCTCTTGCTCTCCACACACAGGGGGTCCTTCCAGGAATGGATTTTTCTAGGCAATTGATTGGTCAGTAAGAGGCGATTTCATACCTGCTGATCTTTAATCTCAAACCTATCATTTTCCAGAGCAGGTTAGGTTGGCAACATGTTACCATGGCAATATAACCCAGCAAGACCTGAACCACCTTGATAGTCCTGAAAACTCAGGGTTAATCCTGAAGTTAAGATAGATTAGCCACATCCTGCTTCATAGGACAGGCTGCAGCGTTAGCTTGCTGCACCCTTGTTCTGACGAGCGGATGCAGGCAACAGAAGAAAAACAGTCCCTTCACGCCATCTCATATGTCATCTGTTGCAATATTTACAATATTAGACATTCTTAGACTTTCTTCATTTCATATCTCAGCTTTAGTTAACGATTCTGATCTCCAGATGTTTGTGTGGGGAACTCACTCCATGCTACTAGAATGAGCCATTTTCCTCCCTGCCATAACTTCGCTTGAGTAAATCTCATTTGTGCTATTTTTAATAACACCCCCGACACATACAACAACTGTTCTGGTGCCACAGCCGCACTTACAACTCTGGCACCATCAGCCGTCGGTGACTGAGTATCGTATTCGCTTAACCCGGTCTTGGAATAAAGCTGTAAACGTTACACCTGCTCTGAGATCACTGTGCGGTTTGTGCTTCCCCACTTCAACATGCCAAAAGTCTGGACCCAAATCTGTGTTGTGGTGTGAGCAGAGAAGCAGATCTGTACTCTGTTTTAGCTGAAAGTAAGAACCACATGACTTCTTACCGAATCGAGCCTCTCCTCCTGGTGCAAAAACTGAGCAAGGTCCTCAGGGGTTGTACCCAGCATGCCTTGCTCCTGAAGGTACTGAATTCCTCTCTTTGGTTTCTTGTTAAACCTATAGAAGATCCAGAGAAGGACAACTTAATGAAGCTAATGCCACAGTTATCCGGAGGATAAAACGATTACTCCGTGAAAGCGGCACCCCTTACAGGTCGATGCCCTGCTCGATGATCTCCTTTTGCTGCTTGAGCACTTCAAACTGCTCTGGGTTGTCAGTACCAGACATCTGCGTGCTGTAGCTTCCGATACCGGACGAGGCTGTGGAGTCCAGCGAGTTAATGCTCCCATAGCGGTTTATGGTCTCCGGAGCCTTGGACTCTGTGCTTTCTTGTTCTGATGGTTTCTCTTGGCCTGAGGAATAAAAAAGAAAGAAAAAAATACACCAGATAAGACAACGCAGAAGGGACGACAGATAAGTGGACATATATGATAATAACAGAAAAAAAGTCTATTGTTGCAACTCCCAGCAAACATCATAGAAGCGAGGCCTTTAATTGAAACTCTGGCACAAGCATGGCCTCAAGGCTTAAAAAACAGCTAACTTAAAGCTAGTACTGCAGGAGACAAACTTCAGTCATTTAAAAGGGGGAAAACTGGACCAAAGAAAATGACCCCAAGGTCTACTTAATGATTTTTTGTTGTTGTTGGCAGGGAGGGTATGAATGCAAGCGTTACTCGAATCTGTGCACAATCGCAGCTTAATGAATTCCAGAAACACACATTTATTCACACTGTCAGAGCAGGTGCAAGGCAGGAGGGAGGGGAGGGGTATTATAAAAGGTGGGTTATCTGAAAAGCTCCAGGTCGTCAAAGGGAAAGCAGAAAGAACTTAGACACCAACAGAGGCTGGTTTCTTAAGCCTGCTGGAGTAAGCTCAGGGATCTGCTGCTGCTGGAGCGAGTCCACGCTGTAAGACGGAGGGAGTCTGATTACCTATCGGAAACTCTTTAAAACATTCAGGACAAAGCCGCAGTAATGTGAGCTGGCACTCTGTGTCCACTCCCCGGCTTACAGAACGGAGGGAAAACAATGGGGGAACACAAGCTGTGCGTCGGGGAACTACTTTATAACGTTTCCATCAAAACCAACCAGCAGCATTTTCACCTATTAGTAGTTGTGGTTAAATTCAAACACGGTTTTTGTTACAAATCTATGGGTGTAGCTGGGCAACAGGAAACTCTCAAACACAAGCTATGTAACCCAACATTAGTACAAAACTCCCTACGGACACAACGGGTGTAAAACGAGCGACACAAACACGTTCCAGCAAACACTCCATACTGCTCTACTGTTACCTGCTCTTGCTTTGAAGTCGTTCACAAGGAGAGACAAGGGACAGTTTAAAAACAGGGGATGTGATATATTGTACTGCTATACTCTATTTGTAACCACAATTCATATTCCACATTGTAAAATAAAAGAAAACAGTGAAAACTTCTCTGTCTGAAATTCGGCGGCAAACGTAACATTCAAAATTCAAATACTAACCTATAGTGATGTGCGATACCACTGATTTCCTTTCCGATCCGATACCAAGTAAAATTCAGGGTGGTATCAGCGATACTGATCCGATACCGATACTCTGTACAAAAACTTAATGTTTCATTGCATTTCATAATACAATATATAATTGTATTATGTAATTGTAATAATAACATAACCATATTGCTTCATAATGATTAGAGGACATCAGACAACTTGTTTTTATTGCTTAATAATGCAGAATAATCATATAGATTATATAGACTCTGCGAGAGACGTCTGTCTCGCCCTAGCAGCACCTGTCCCTGTCCTCCTCTTCAGTTCGCCTCAACATAAGCTTATCATATTCTGTGATGTGATTTACTCGGAGGTGTTTGACGAGGTCAGTGGTGTTGCCACAACAACGTGTCCACACAGGACTCTGTTTGCGCTCAGCCATTGTTGTGAGTGTGCAGGCCAGGGGCTGCCACACATTTATACAGCCGTATTCCGCATATGACTATGAAAGGCGTAAGAGGAAGTAGTTCTTTCCAAATTAGACGATCCGAATTGTATAGTTTCTTTCCACTGCGTTCATTTTAATGGAAAAACTACAAATTTAGCCCAGAGTACTAAAATATCAATATTAAAATATGAGAATTGATTCTAGAACATAAATTGCTGGTATCGGAAGAATCGATATTTCAGTATCGATCCGCACACCACTACTAACCTATGAGTTCCTGCTAGATTGCTAATGAGGTGGCATAAGTTTTGAAATAGAAATAGCGCCACTGTGAGCGAACACAGCTGCCTATGCTAGTTAGCCCTGTTAGCCCAGCCTGAGGCTAGCCCATGGGCTGCTCCAGAAGGCTTCTGGGATATCTTTCCAGTGCTTTCACGCAGCTGTACTCTTCCTTAGTTTGAGCAAACAACAGAAATCCTCCGATGTGCTGAAAACCCAAGGGCCAGTCTGACACTGAAGATATCTTCAGTCCCCCCCGCCTCAATCATAGCTCGGCCTAAGGTATCGTTCTTTTCAGGATTAAACCTCCTGGATTAGCCTGTCTGCGCCAGCCTCTGGGCATTATCCCGCTGCTTCGAGCGGTGGGAACCGAGCTGATGAACGTTTGCATTTCTTCTTAAGAGTTGTAGCTCTCCCAGATGAATGCCAGCTGTCCACCCTGCCTCTGATTGCAACTATGCTGATGGAGCTTTATCGCAAACCAGTAAAAACCTTTAAAAGCCTGAATTATGAAATTATTGCTAGAAATGTCTACATTTTGGAAATAGGAGCGTTTATCAAAAATCTGGCAAATAAAAGAAAAAAAAAATTCAATCTTAATTAGCATAACAGTGTTTAATTAGCATCATATTTCCTACATTAGGTGGAGGATTGAAAAAGACGGAGGCTACAAGGCAAAAAATAAAATTAAGGTACCCAAACACTTCCTTTTATTTAAGCTTTAGTCATACATTCAAAGCTCATTCTGAAGACTTCAGTAATATTACAGGCTTGTGTCCTGATGTATTCATTCGTGTTATATGTTCTGTATTCTGCAATTTAACCAAACAGTCTTCACTGTTATTTTTAAGGAATTACTACACTCTCCCCTGCAGTAACACATTGTTCTGTGTACAGCTAGCCTGTCTTGGATTGTTTCAAACTACCAGCCAAACACTGATCAGTGTGCAGAATAACAATGAAGAGGAAGGTTATGCCTTGTATTCAGATCAGGTCTGATGACTGCCAGACAGTTTTGATAAAAGACACGAGTGTCTCACCGAGGCTGGTCTGGGAATTGGGGTTGACGTATTGGTCTTTACTCCACTCCACCATACACTTCAGGATTGACACTAGACACTCAAGGCCTTTCTTTCTCAGGGTCAGCTCCTAGAAAAGCATCCCAACAATTTTTTTCAGCCCAAGATTGTGAATAATAGCAATAATAACTTTAAATTAAATAAATAAATAAAATCACCTGCTGGGGGGTTATCCCAAGCTCATGGCCTCCACGACCTTGTGCAATTTTCGAGAGGTCGTTGACCAGCCGTTCAAATATGTTAGCAGCATTCAAGTCACAGTCATAGTTCACGTAGATGTCCACCACACTCTGGGCGTCTGATGGGACAGATGGGAGCCAGATGGAGTTTGGCAGTGAAAATGTGGAGGGTGAATCAATAGGCATACATATAAAGATAATAATTAATCATTAGATGAAACTGCAACTTTGTTACGACAGTCACGTGAAAAAGGAAGCAGTTCATATGAGGTATTATTCAGCATTTCTGTACAGCTAAAAACTTTTTTGACAACTAGCAGATATATCTGCACCACATCTAAAGCCCCAATCAAAGTACTTCTATTTTCTAAATGACACAAAGAGAAGTGAAAATAGAGAGAGAAGCCAACCTGCACATATTCTAGTGAGGGTTTGTATAACCATCCATTTGTGGTCATAGGAGCTTGTGGACGTCTCAAGAATATACAGGAAAATCTCCTTGAAGAACACCTGTTGAGAGAGTTCATGTGACAGTGTAAACATGAATCACACACACACAAGGAGAGGTAAAAACAACCTTCAGTTGCCTGCATAACCCAAAAAAAAAAAAAAGAGAAAGCCCACACGCAACCCTCCAGAAGCAAAACACGATTCCCCTCGAGTGGATACAACAAATATAGCAGGTGGATGTCAAATGTTCGACAGTTAGACTCAGAAGAATAAACTGTAGGCAGAGGAGGAAGAACGTTACAGCAGATATGGTAACAGCCCGTCAATATCTCTTACCACTGAAAGATGCTAGATATAAACATGAAAGATACACATATATACTGACAGTTCTTCACTGTAAAAACAAGTCGATCAAAATTATTTTCTCTTTTAAATGTGGCGTTTAACACCTCAATTGTTCCTGTGTTTCCTACAAAGTGAACCAGGTGCCAGATGAACTAGTTGGCTGATGAACTAGCCAACTAGTTCATTGGGTTTTCCCTGCACATCTAAGTAAAAATAAAAGAGAGAAAAAATATCCTAGCTTGACTCACCATGGGAAAAATATTGAATGACTTATGGTTCAAAACATTTCTTTGTACTACGTTCCAGAGGCTGTTAGTGCAGAAACTGCTGCTTTCTATGGCGATCCTTTCTGTCGATACCTTTTTGCTATAAACGGCACTTCTTTGAAAGTCCAAAAGTAGCCGGGCACAAAACGACTTGGGTGTCTAAAGCTAATTAGACACCCAAGGAGGATTTCTTTTATTACTCACACATTTACACCTAATAAGGATTTAAGTGTGCCGACACAGGTCGCTGCCTTCCTAGATGTTTGCATTTTTAATACAGTTGTCTGACAATAATGCAGCTTACAAGTTTAATAGTAAGTAAGACCCCAAATAAGAGGGGCTGCATGTCTTTGTGATGAACCTCTGAGGTCTATGGATGAAGCCTGCTAACAAAGAAAGGAGATATCAACTGAAAACTCTTCTTCTGTCCCTTACATAATCGAGATGGCAACGACTGAAATACCAGACTTAACGCTTCCAATTGTGTTACCACAATCATCTTTTATATACAGTTTATGGTCAATACTTTCATAAACTATATGGACAAAAGCACTGGGTCACACCTACTGTTAGCCATGCAGTGTGCCTTTACAAACACAACTGAATACGACTGTGATGCCGTAACAGAAAGGAAATGAAAGCATTTAGGAACCACAGCAACCCAGCCGTGAAGTGGCAGACCATGTAAAGGTCCCTGAGTGCAGTCTCTTCTGACTCAATAACTGCAGAGCTCCTCTGGCATTATCATCAGCACAGAAACTGTGTGCCGGGAGCTTCATGGCATGGGTTTCTATGGCCGACAGCTCTTGTGTAGGAGACCCAGTGCTTTTGTCCAAACTTAGAGCAAATGCTTTACCTCGATTTGCATCTTGAGGTGTGTCTTGAAGTGAGAAAGGAGAGTGAGGAAAATGGAAAGAGACAGTTCGAAGACCTCAGGCACAGAGGAGACCCCATTCTTGGACAGAGCCACACACAGGTACTGCTTGATGGCGTTTATGAACATCTCGTTGGTCTTAAAGATGGGCCCGGCGTTTTGCAGGATGGACAGCAGCAGCTGGAGGGACAAGACCTTCGACCGCAACTCGTGGGACCTGAGACGAGGACAGAAAAGAGGAAGTTAAAATCTTTGATGAAAGCAAGGGGAACAATTGATTCCCCTTCGGAAAGTTACAAAATTAAATTCATCCACAACAATAACATAAGCTTGTTATCATGAATTGACTGTCTCCTTTGAATAGAAAAGAGGGCTTAAATTAAAACACAAAAAAATACCCTGCGCAGTGGTTTGTTTGTGCGCACATATCAGTGTGTGAAGCTTCATCTCCTATAGCAGGGGTCGGCAACCTTTCTAATGATGAGTGCCATCTAAAATTTCCTCAGAAGTCAATGTGCCATATCAACTGTTGCATTAGCAATAGATTTAATAATGCTCTACATCAACAGCTACACACTATATAAAACAACTTTATAGAACTATATTTCTTCACAGACGTTGGCATAGTGCAGATCAGCTATTTTGATATGTAGAGCCAAATACTGTCAATAAGGCCTGTGCAATGTTCTTAACACAGTTAAACTTGTCAGGTAGTGATGTCCAGCAGGTGAAAATGCAAGCTCCATGAACACGCACAGCTGTGGATTCCAGCTGCGTTCGTAGTTCTGCAAACTTTGACCCCACAGAGTCGAGCTTTTGAGTTCAATCAGCTGCATTTCGATGTCCTCTAATCATCTGCCCAAGGCTTTTAACCATGAAAAGTTTCCGTCACAAAATGCTCTTGGCAACCAAAAGAGAAACAAAAATCTCACTAAAACAAAGTACCTATAAGTGACATGATCTGTCCTTCAAGCAAAGTTATTCCACAAAGTGGGAAAAGTGTAACGCACAGTAAAACTAAATCATGCTGTATCTCTGCATCAGAGAGTTAAAAACGTCATCAGCATCAAAGAAATGCTCGGGAAACCAAATCAAAGCGCCCCTGCGCGTATAGCCTCAGCCCGTCTGAACTGTTTTCCTGCAGCAGCAGGACGAAACGAGTCAAAAATCACACTTTCAGCTACTTTATATTCTGGGTTTGGCTGCTTCTGTGCAATGTCTTCCATCTCTGGCAAGCAGACAAATTAGGATTTATGTGGCACAACAACAGGGTGCCTCTACTTCTCTTTCAATAGCCAAAAAATATGGAGCGAAGGAAAACATACTGCTTTATCGCCAACCAGATTGTTGTGAAGAAAGAAATGCAATGTTAGTACAATGCAAGAAAACTACAACACTAAAAGCATTAAAATAAGAAAGAAAAACGCAGGGTTAAGAGAGCTGGCCTCCTTTTCATACCCAAAGACTGCATCCGCCTTTATTTTAAGTTTATCCCCCTTAGGATATCCAGAAAAGAGTAGTTAGCACATTGGTGGTTAGCAAATCTAGAATAAAAATCAAGTATTTCTTCAAATTTATAAAACAATAAAATAAAGTAGTTTCTGATGGTGATAATGATAATAATAAAGCCACACTTTCGCCTGTGTGCTCCCTCATGACAGAGTGACAAAGTGTGACTCATGAGGCAGAACAGCCTTGTTAGGAAGGTAAAAGGTTTCTGTCTGGCACTGACACGGCACATCAGTGCTGAGGTAACTGACGTGGCCTTCATTAGACACACACACACACACACACACACACACACACAAATGGGCACAAACACCATTCTTTCTTTTGAATTTTCAACATTTTCATTAAAAAGCTATTGAGCAAAGGACTGAGATTGCAGTTCATTTCACCGGATTAAAGTAAAATAAAAGTGACGGATGATTAAATAAACGGAACAGTAAACAAACCAGCCAGCAGAGCCTGAATTGAGTTTCACAAAGAAACCAGATGCGGGAAATCCAGTTTCTCAAAAGCTATAGCCATCAGGTCAAGGCAATCGCATGCCCTTTTTGGAAAACCAGAGATGGGTCAGAAGAAATATTACATGAAGGCGCATATCTAATTATACTTTTCTGCTGTTAAAAAAGGGAAGCAGTTAAAATGGGATGAAACCAGGAAGTGATTCAGAAAATGCTGAGTGATGGCTCATTGTCTGCCTTATCATCATGTATCAGAACACTGCAGTTATCATGGGAGCGATCCTCATTTTAAACCATGACTCACATTTGTGCATGTCTATCCCAAAGATGAAACCAAATAAAAATCGAAGCTTTTCATTGGGGGCTTTACTGGAAGCACAATACATCACTAATTCATTTTACTAACAAACAAAGGTTTTCGAAGGAGAATGTCAGCTGGAAAGCATCCAAATAAACTGATTTTCCACATTCTTTTAAATAACCACATTAAAAATTTCATTTATTTCTCATTAAATGTCAGTAATATGTTCCTCCACTGCAAACTAAGTAATCAAGATTGGGATACAGCAATGAACTGACAGAAAGTAAGTCCAAAACTATTTGGATAATTCATTATTTCAGTTGTTTAGCAGCAAAAATATTTTACAGTTAGGTCTTACAGTTAATCACTCAGTCATCCATCCATCCATTCATTAGTAGAAGTCGAAGCAAAGACCCAAAGATTTTCTTCAAACTGACCACCTCCCCTCTACAGGGGGACACCAACGCGCTCCCAAGTCAGAGATATAATCTCTCAAGTGTGCTGGCTCCGTCCTGAGGTCTCTTCCTGGCAGGACATACCCCAAACACCTCACCTAGGAAGTGCGGTGCCACAAGGCCCAGCCGTCCAACCGACAGGAGGGGTTTGGTGCTATGTGGACCGAGGTGGAGCTCTTTGCCGTCCGATCCTCAGTTATTAAACCTGACTTCAAGTGAAACCTCAAATGCCTCCGACATAATTTAAGAGAGTCTGCTTGATGGGTTTTCACAGGCATGAAACCAAACAGAAGTCATTTTATGTATTTTTTACTGCTGTGTCTAAAACTCAGCGTTATTTCAGTATCAGGCTGCTATCACACCTTTCCCTCCTAACACAGCATAATTCTCTCACTTTTTTTTGCATAGGTCAAAGGAGTCGAAAATATTAACCAGAAACAGACGAACCAAATAACACACAAGAGCAGTCATTATGTTTAATTTGTATCCTTACTTCGGATCAGGTGGCCCATCTGATAGCGGTTTCATTGACAGCTTGCAGAGCGAGCGAAAGACAAGAAAGGCATCTTTCTGAAGGATGTGGGAGAATTTAGCACCTGGCGGCTGGCCCGGTGCTGCTCCTGATTCCTGCAGACAAACCAGAGAAACAAAAATACTTTTAAAAAATGCCACTTTCACTCTTTATATCCTGTTGAGTGCTTAACATAAACTGTGTGTGATTATGAGCTTCCAAATCTATTAGATTTCTTTAACAGCAATCACTGAGGAGTGTAATCCTGCATAATTGGTCACATACAGCTGAATGGAAAAATTGTAAATACATAAGAATTGTAGAAAATAGCTATTTTAGCTTAATTTAAAAAAACAAAACAGGTATTCAAAGTGTGTGTGACATGTCTTTCATCATGCTTTTGATTCAAATAGGGTAACATAAAGGTTCACAGTCAAAGCTCTGATCATTTGCAGGTGATGTTAATTTGACATAAAGTAAGCAAGCTTCGTTTCCTGGTACCTGAGTGTCGTTGGATGAGACGGAGAGTCTGTCATCAGGCAGGGAGGGGGTGAAGCTGGCAGAAATAGGTGTGCCGGGGATGCCGTTGGCATGGACGTGCTCGCTGTCGCTACCCACAGTGCCCTCATCCTCCAGGGAGCTCTGGGTGCCCTCTGTTGCCGCTTCTGCAGGCTCTGACTCTGCTGGTTCTCCCTCGCCACCAGACTCCTTGGTGTCAGAGCACAGGTTTGCTGGGTCCAGGCAGTGGCCTGCAGGGTGAAGTTGAATCGACAGGGGTGATACACTAATCTGTAATATTTAAACACCTTAAAATGATCTACAAAAGGGACACAATTTGTTTTTTATGACGAGAAAAGCATTCTAGACTTAGTTTGACGACCTGACGAATTACAAAGAAAGAAGACTGCTCTGGAACATAACCGCCATCTTTCATCTGAGGTTAGCGAAGCAAAGAACTATTCTTCTGTGTGCTCAAAGAATTTTTTTAGGTTTTTAAGCTTTTACCCACAAAGAAAGAGCTCTTTGCTTTTCCCATACACCTCCACGAATGAGCCGCGGAAGTGTCGGGAGGAGAAATTATAAGATAACACTCTTCTAACTCGCTAAGTCTGGGGTAAGCTTTGCATAATGGCTGCAAATCTGCACAGGTTTTTGAGAATTTAAAGATCTCCTACTCCGACAGCAAACTGAAATCTACTTTCAGGAGTTGGCCTCAATAAAGAGCAGCTAATTGCTGGTTTAGTCTTCAGTCAGCCACTTTTCTCACGACGCAATTAGTCATTGCCTTTAAAAATAAAACACCGATTTAAGCAAACGAGCAACAAAGAAATCTTACCTCCTGCAACAGTATTGACCACCTCTTGCAGAATACTCTGGACTATTTCCTGGGCTTTCTCCTCATAGTTTGGGGTCTCCCCGTCCTCCTCCTCAGCTGCCTCTGCATGCTTCTGGGCTGCTGCACCTAAATAAAAACCATGTAAAGTCTGAGTGTACGCCTTGATACGTTGTACATGCAGTCCTGTGAAAAAGAAAGTTCTGTATAGAGTCTCGTGAAAAGCTAGAGGCTGGAAAAAATGGCTTTATTAGTCTTTCATGTTATTGTGGAAGAATTTTGGCCCACTCTTCTTAACAACATTGCTTCAGTTTGCAGGAATTTGTTTATGCACAGCTCTCTGAAGGTCTCACCACAGCATTTGAGTCAGGCTGAGGTCTGGACACCTTGATTCTTTTCTTCTTCTGTCATTTTGTTGTAGATTTGCTGCTGCACCCAAATCATAGCCTAGAGATCTTTTAAAACCGCGTGTGGAGTGCAGTAAAAGGGGCCAGCATGCAAAAAGTTACAATGTCACTAAAAAACATTTTTATTCTCCTCTTCAGATTCTACAGTAGTTCCCTCATTAAAGGAGCTTCTGCAACACTATCTGTAGTATCAAATATCTGCAACAGAAAACACTGGTTCTTGCAGTTTCTTTTTAATTATTACACCAAACTGCAAAGCATTTTAAGCACGAGGCTTTTACAGTTTGCATTCAAGGTGCTGTTTACTCTGGACAAGTTGATACAACTCAAACGACATGCCACGTGCTCTTGAACGTTACGCCGTGTGCCTGATATATTTAAAGCGGCAGTTAAACAGCACTTAGCTGTGAGAGAGTTGATCGCTTTTAGTGGCCAAACATGGTATTTAGTGGCACAGGGAGAGATTAAACTTAAAAAAACAAAAAAGCAAGATAATGGGTTCATAATCAGGGAAGAGATATTTTGTGATTGTCTGTGTCTACTGACAGAGAAAGAGAAAATGGAAAAAAAAAGAAGAAACTCTGCGTGCAGCCTTACTTTCTGCTGCTGCAGTGGCTTGGTCTGCCTCGGTTTGTTCACTTTCAGCCACGCAGAACTCTGAACCGTTTTCTGGGTCTGGGTTCTCTCCCTTCTCCTCCTGCTCCCTCTGCTCCTCCTGCTCTTTGGGGGCAGACCTGCCGCTGCTCTCCGGAGCCGGTGTCGAGGGCGTCGATGGGGTGGACGGGGTGGTGATGCTGGGAGTCGGAGGGGTGAGGGGCCCGTTGGCCTCCCGTGTCGGACCCTTCGCCGGCGAATGAATGTGGGTCTGGTGCTGGGCGGAGTCTGGCTCGGTGTGCTGAGTGACTGGGGAGTGCTGCCTGTGCCGCTCTCTCTCCAGCTGTTTTGCTTCTTGCAGCTGTAAGCAGGGGTGGGGCCCACACACACACACACACGCACACACAGACAAAACAAAACAGCAAAGCACACATAGACAGACAAAGCATGCAAAGAACAGCAAAAGCATCATAGAAGACAGACGCATGCAACACACAGACACACAGAGGAAAAAAAAAAGCAAAGGTTAAGCATATAAACAAACTCATCAACAATTACAAGTCTGATCAGCCTGTCTAGATTCCCTGAAGACTCACTGAGCCACAACACTCCCAGATGTCAAAGCAGAGAACAAAAGATGACTACAGATTGTAGTTGTAGTGTACAAAAAAAAAAAGCAGTACAGTTTGCCAGCATACATCAGATGTGTGTTCATATGGAGATGCGTATGAAAATGCACGCACTGAGAAGAAAGACATGCCATTAAAAAAAAACAGCAATGAGACAAACTTCGAGGAATCGGTTCATGCTGGCCCGTGTCAACGGGGTCTACTCTAACCCGCCGGTGCTGCAAAATATTTCTGGTGGAAAAACGGCTGTCCCGGCTGATGTGTCACAGCTGACATGTGCAACCGCTGCTTCTGACGGGGAGCGCCACAAAGTGTTGCCATGCTTTAGCCGGGCAGGGCACAGACCAAAAGTGGGTCATAAATCATTTGCACATGCTCATAATCTATTAAAAAAACATTACATGTTTGTGAAAGTTGTGCTGATTGCCTCCTGGAAAAAGCTTCTGAGAAAACAAAGAGATATTTAAGAAAGAAAAAAACAGTTTAACACTTCAGTGCTTGACAGCAAACACCGATCCGTACGAGGAAAAAAAATAACTACGAGCAGCGGCAAGAACAAGAACCCAGCGCTGCATTTTGCCATCTGAGCGTGCGTGTGATGATTTGCCGACAATAAAGGTTAAAAGGCAAATGACAGACTCAAGAGTCAAAGAGGAGCGCAGCAGCTTGAAGGGGGGGACGTGGGTCACAGATGAAAATACAAACAGTGTGACACATTTACCAAACAATGTGATCTTTCGAGCTATGGCGGACTCTCTTTCGAATTCAGAGCTTTAATTAGAAGAACAAATGAGTCAAAATGAATTTGTTTCAATGAATTAGCCTGTCTGTATCCATTACTAGCCATAAGACACAATTACACTATCAGTATTATTACATTCAATCATTTGACTATTACAAAGCAAACCAAAAACTGACTCCTCTCATTAAACTCGTTGCGTCTTACTCTCAAATCAACACTCTCGATAATTAAACCAGACTGCTGATCTTCTCGCATTAAATGTAATCGAATAGATTCAGTGACACGGCATTGCGAATGAAACGATTAGTATTGAATACGAGTGACGGTAGCGGGACAGGACGAAGGCGCCTCGACTGGGAGGGTTGGGCGAAGACAAACTAAGCTCATTATTTAAATGCCACCTCAGTCGGATAGTGAAGGCTGCACATGAGCGTGTTTCTGTGCCTGTGATCACAGCGTGCAGAATACTTCTACACACAGACACACAAAGTGGATCTCCCTGTGCAGCAGCAGCAGCACTGGGCAGGCAGCGACAGCACAACAATAGGCCTCTGCCTCAAAGTCTGCCTCGTCTACCGACTCCTGCCTCGCATTTCTCCGTCTGACTCGGTATCAATGGCTCATTGTTCTGAAAGCCCTCTCAAGAAGCAAAGCATAAGAAAACTCGTCAGGAATGAGACGGGCGCAGCTGACCTGCTTGTACAGCGTTTACCGCGCCCAGGTGTGACTGTAAACTAAAATGTTAACTGGTGCGGGAGGAAAGCGAGATGATTTGTGGGCAAGTCAACAGAAGCCACAGCAAGCATACGGTGGAAGAAGTGCACAGCATACCTGCTCCTGTGCGGTGCAGGAGCAAAAAGGAGGAGAGAACGGATGAGTGCATGGATGGATGAGTGAGGGAAGAAAAAATAAAAAAAATAAAAAAGCTCTAATGCGCAAACACAGATGCACAGAGAAGAGTTTAGAAGAGGTCGGATCAGGCATGTCACGGCAGTCCTGCACGCTTTACCTGGCGGTCACGCTTTCTGGAGGCCAGAGACCAAGATAGCCTGTGATTTGTAAGCTATGTGTCCAAAAGGAAAGGAGGGAGGCAGGTGAGGAAGGGGGGAAAAAAGTGTCATTCAAAAAGAAAAAGATGACATTAGAGCAAGCTTTTTTTTGCCTTTTTTTCTGAAGGCAATAACTAAAATGTCCCTCTGGACACAAAGCAAACAACAGATTTTAATTAAATCTGGTGGCTCGAGTAAACCAGTCACAGAAAGCAAAGACATTATTTCCAATCCACTCTGACTCCAGATTTGACTGCAGCATAGATTTGTTTAGGCTAGCGCTATAATTTATTTAATACTCATATTAGCTTCACTGGCTTTTATGCATTAGTGACAGCATCAGTGATTCAGACAGCTGCTCCAAAGATGAGCTGTCCATGGTGTCTCTACATAAACAGAATTCTGTGCGATTCGGTGTTTACAGAGGCTTCGAACATACTGCTTGGTTCTCCATGCGTGCGAAGATAACGTTGAGCATCTGTGTGAGCGTGGCCTTGGCTGTGGTCTGATTGATGAGGTTCTTGCTGGCCAGGTAGATGTTGTAACAGGTGCGGACGGCCTGCAGAACAGTACCCTCGTGGATTTCTATATGCTGAGATGTCACCGCTGTCAAGAGAGCCTGAAAGGAAAGACCAAAAACTACCATTAACTGCTGACGCAGGACGAGAAAAAGCCGAGAATCGCAGCTGCGCAAAAAACCAAAAGCCAAACACTGATGCAGTCAAGAACAGCTGGACGTTTCAGCATTTGAAATCTTAAATGCAAATATCATTTTTAGGCAAAGGTTGTAACGGCCGCCGTTTTCTTTGTGAGTATTTATTACACGCCGTGCTGCGGGGAAAAGCCTGTTCTAACGTTTGAGTCTAAGGTTTATTTTTTAGCACCTGACGGCTCTTTTTTGCTTCTCATCCGTCAAAACTCTGCATACTCAATCACATGATTCCGTTTGTTTTGAAAAGTCTCAACAGGATCTTGAGCTTTATTGAGAAAGGTTTACGTGGAAAACAAACAAGCGGACAGCGGAGCCACGCGATGGTTTTACCATCGTTGTTGCTAACGACAACATGCAAAAACAGGCGCTTGTCCGTCTGTAGTGTGGTTATATTAAATATAAGAGAACGAGAGAACTTTAAGAAATTAATATAGCTACAGGTCACTACAGTAACCGTCAAAACGATGAAAAAATATTGCTGTAAACAATTTATTTTGCAACACCACGAAACAAACGATAGCGTAATAGGAAACGACAGACGTTTGTATATCGTCATCCCATATATATCGTTATATTGAACAGCCCTACAAAAGTATGTCAGAAAATGTAGTTTATTGAACTTTTTCTGATGCACAAACTTCAAATAAACTCATAACCTCACAGCTATGAGGGAGGAATCCCCGCCCACAGACCTAAATAGGGTCACTCACAGGTGTAAAAAAAGGGGAGCAGCCATGAAGCTAAGTAGAAGTCTTTAAAACCAAAGTCACTGTGGCTTTGTCCATTTTTATATAGTCTATCAGGAGAACAACACAATACACCACAAAGCAGGGACAGCAAGTTATTAACAATAAATATAAAACAGATTTACAACTAATATTAAAACTTAAATAGTTGCCACTATCACTGACTTTTTCAGGTAAGTCTCCGAGATAAAATGAAAAAGTAATCGTATTTACAATATAATTACAGATTGTTTTTCAAATGACATACATATTAATAAGGTAAAATAATATTGTATTATTCAACAGTCCAGCAGGATTATCTGCTGCAGCCACAAACAGCAAGTGTTATTAAAGATTGCTGCAGATCAAAGCCACATAAATACACAGATGTGGTCTTTTAAGGAATGACTGTCGGCTAATTAAATTCTCTAAAGTGTGTATTGAGCGTATCTGCGACAAGCTGCGATATGTCAGAAGAGGGGGACGGCAGCACACCTTAATAATCTGTAGCTGCACGCCCTCGTCAGTCTGAGGTCCTTGAAAACAAGCGCAGATGGTCTCGATGATCCTGTCGATGAGCTTCTTGCCCGGAGCCGTGCTGTCCGGGGCGCTGCCCGTCAGGTGGCCATACGCTATCAGCTTCTAAAAGTCACACGAACATGCAGACGTAAACACACATATGCAAAAACACAACTAAACGACCTGGTAGCATGGAATTAAAAGAACTTATTTTTCTTCAAAGACATCCAAAGATACAGTAAAGGCAGAGCCCAGCACACAGTTCGCTGCCATAAAGTAACACTCGTGCAAGCACTCGGGGGCCTGCGGTGTGACTTGTCCCGCCACTGACCTGTAAACAGTCGAGCGAGGTGATGACGATGCGGGGACATTTGGATTGACATGCCAGCTCAAACGGCAAGAAGTACTTGTCGGCTTCAATGAAGTTGGTCTTTGATTTGATTGGCGGTAAAGTGCTGGAACCTGATTTGCCATCTCCACCGGGTGGACTGGGGAGGGAAGGAAAATAAATACATTTTAAAAAAGAGGAAGAAAGGGACAGAGACTGTGAGATAAACACTGTGACTCTGCGGTCTGTCATCTGGAGTCACAAGAAAAGAAACGGGGCATAAAAATCAGCATGACACACTAACACTTTTGTTGACATCCAAGTCTGAAACAAACACGAAAAAGCGCCGGGGATGGCGTGCTTCACTATAAAGAACAACCTCTGCTTGCTCCACAGCTGAAGCAGGACATCAAACAAGCTAAACCAAAGAAGACCCTGTGCTTTATCCTGTTCCTGAGGGGGGAAATGAATAGTAAGAACAGATTTTATTACACTGAATTTAATGTAGTGCCTGGGGTAGTAATCCCAGAGGTTTTGTAATTCAAGCTTTGCCATGGGTCCATGCTGATAAAGCATCTCCTCCTGCACGACTGGTAACTGCACAGCTATTTTTTCGGAATTTTTAAAAGACCGGAGACAGCCTTAAAATATAGACCATCGCTTTCAGCAGCCATGTCTTTACAGCATCCCTAAGCGCTACCACCACACCCAGACTGCACAAGCTGGAAGAGGAGAAGAACAGAGAAAGGGAGGGAGACGGCTAGCGGTGGAGGGGGCTGCATTGTTTATGTCTTGGCAACGGAAAAAGGACGAGTTCAGCTCTTTTTTAGAGGGACGACCACGCCGAGCATAGAAGGGCACAATCAGAGACAGAGAAAGAAGCGAGGACGGATCGCTTGTACAAGAAGAGAAGAGGGGAAAAAAGGATTCAGAGACAGTTAAAAACGAAAGAGGCATCAAGCAGCATGAATTCACCAGGAAAATGAGGGTGCTCAGAGAAAAGCAGAAGAAGGGAGAACGCTTAGAGGGCTGGAAAGGAATATAATATAAGTTGTCTGAAAGCAGCCGAGGAAATGGGTATTAATTACCACAAATTAAAGATGATTGGACAGGGAGGGAGCTACAAATATCGAGCATAAAAATGGAAAACATGAACCCGTTTACCAGGCTTACAGTCTTCTTCAAAAACATTGTGGACAACAACATTAAAATGATTAAAAAGATCTTTGCTATGATTCAGCAAGAGCATCCACTCTGTCAGCTTATTACTGGTCTGACCCAGTCTCAATTTCTCTCTCAGCTATTATGTTGTGGATCTGCAGGGAGCTCGTCTCCGCTGGTTTATCCCTGAACTCCCTGCTTAATGTCACCTGGCCTGCTCAGCCCTTTATTATAAGCCCAATGTCAGGCTCAGGCTGCTTATAAAAACATAAACACTATAAAACTGAGTTCTAGTCAGACAGCACAGCCAGCACATCCTGCAGCTATGTTATTACATGGAACTGAATACTGCATTCAATTAAATGCTGAAGTCAAAGGTTCATCTTTATCTTGGAAACAAGCGCTTAAAAATCCTTACTGGAGCCATGTTTCCTTACAAGCTCTCAATCACGTCACATGTGCTTTCATTAGCAGCTGCACTTTGCTTTTAATTTCACAGCTTTCAAAGCTTATCTAATTTCCTGGCAAAGAAAACGAAAAGAATGCATAGAATTTATCTTATTGTGTACTACTTCAGGACTTCAGGGCTGCCGGTTGGTCAAATCTGTCACCTTTGGACAGAACCAGAGCGTTTCCTCCATCTTTATCCTGAGCTAATCTCTACAAAGATACATCAGCATTTAAATAAGCACAGTTCTCAGACGAGGGAGAGAAAATCGGGTGCTGGAAGCTTTCAGTCTGTTTGCATTACATGCTGTGTTGGCCGATCATACAGCAGGCTTTGGCCTGTATGCAGGTAAACAGTCTGTGTTTTGGCAAATGCAATCCCCATTTTGCTTTTCACACCGACTCCAAACCAGTGTCCATTTCCTGATGACAATTTAACTTTGAGCTTTTTAAAAAAAATTATTGACATTCTTAAAGAAAGATCTGTGCACAAAACAGGAAGTTGTAAAGTGTCAGAATGCTGGCTGTTGTTTCTAGATGCTACGCCATATGGACAAAAGTATTAGGACACACCTCGTTGCCACAGGTTTATAAGAAGAAGAAAAAACCCAAGCAATTCGCCATGCAGTCTGCCTTCACAAGCATTTGTAAAAGAATGGGTCGCTCTAAAGAGCGTAGCAGTGTAACAGGATGCTACTGTTGAAACAAGGCAGTTTGTGCAATTTCTTTCCGACTAGTTCAACTGCAAGTGGTATTATTACAAAGTAGGGCTGCCACGATTAGTCGACTAGTCACGATTACGTCGACTATCAAAATCGTCGACGACTGATTTAATAGTCGACGCGTCGTTTGAAGCTTTGTAAGATCACAAAAGACGCAGGAATAAGTAGTAGGATTTAAGAGTGTAATAACGGACTGAAACAGAAGATGGCAGCACTGCATGTACAAGGATGCCAGCTGCCGTTAAACCCCGAAGAAGAAGAAGCTGTGTCCCAGAATTCATAGCGCAGCCCAGCTCAGTTTCCAACAATGGCGGCAGCTAGTTAGTTTTAATATTACTCTTATTATTCTTTCTGGGTCACAAAATAAACGTTTAACATATTTTCAGGCGAGAATGTAGCTGTGTAAACCTCAAATATCTGCTCAGTTTATCAAGACACCACATATTTTCAAAAGCGCTCCGACGTTTTCGGAGACGTCTGTTACCCACTAGCTCGATAGCTAGCCGGGGGCAAGGCTCACTAGAGGACACCGGACTCCCGGCAAATCGTTTTCAAACCCACTGCCGTCTTTCGCTACTCAGGTTAAATCATATATAAGTCACTTAGATAACTTAAAATGTTATTGTTTGGCTTTTTTTTAGTATTTTATTTGTTCCTGAGTAAATCGGTTTGGCTGAGATTAAAGTTATAGTTTTTACACAGCTGAATAAACGTCAAGCAGACAGCTGATTATCAGAAGTGTGAGATGCTGCGAGAATATACTCCGGTGTCCTGTTATATTTTAGATAGCAAGGAGTTTATTAAACTTCACCGAAACAATCTGCAAATTTCATTAAAATTTAATAAACTATCATCTTGTCTTTATTTTTAGTTAGCACCTTAAACACTTAAAGCTGTAAGCTAATGATAGTTATATAAGAGCAGATGCTGCTGGTGCAATAAGCTGTACGTTTTACGTCCAATGGATGATGATCTGATTAGTCGACTAATCGCAAAAATAATCGGTGACTAGTCGACTATCAAAATAATCGTTTGTGGCAGCCCTATTACAAACTGAAAGGCATTAGGAACACAGCAGCTCAAAGTTACAAAGCTGGGTCGCTGCGTGCTGAGACACATAAAAGTTGCCAACCCCTGCTGACTCTATACCGACAGAGCTCCAGTCCTCCTCTGACATTAACATCAGCACAAAAGCTGTGTACTGGGAGCTTCATAGCATGGGTTACCATGGCTGAGCAGCTGTAATTACAGTGTATGTTATCAAAGTATGGCAGACGGGTTTATTGGAAGACCAAAAGCTGGATCTAGTCTTGCAGATTAGTGCGTTATCGACGCTGTAATTTTTGGCAAGAATGCAATTTTAAAGACACTTACTTGAAACCAAGATACAGAACAAGTCCTGAGAATATTGGAAAGTTTCAATGTTTAGTGGTCCCAGAAAACTGAGAAAACCTAATTCATGTAAACTCATGTAAACTGTACCGAGTGCAGGTCACTTTGTAGAGCTTAAATGTTTGATCTTTCAGGCCTTTACGTGGTGTGGTAGTTAACTGATAAGAGCATTTTTTTAAGATTATGAAATGATTCTGGAATAATTTCCTAAAACACCATTAATGGTTTTCATACAACATGAGCTTTATGTGGCTGCTTTGTTTAAATATCACAGTGATTAGATTAGCCAGTAATGCTTAGTACCTGTTTCCTTAGCATATATTTAGCTATCGTAACAAGATTTGATTTTAAACAGTGATTTGAAATGTACTTAGTTAGACACTGCCCATGCCTACTATTGCAATTACATTACAGAATGAATGCACAGAGAAAACCTATTTAAACTGGGCTGCAGGCTCAACCAGGGTGTTTGTATTCATAAGTAGCAAAGCTAGAGTATTGCATCTATCCGAAAAGGGTTGTAAAGCACCTGAGGTGAAAACACAAGCAGCAATACTTCTGTGAGCCTGGTGCTGGCTGCACAGAATCCCTAACCTTAAAATTCAGATGAATTTTGAGTCACTGGTAAATCTAATTTGGAGAGAAGTGAGTGAAATAATAGGGAAGGATTGTGTGCGAAGGGGAAAATGATGAGGGACAGAAATGTAAGTGGGAAATAAAAATGAGCTGGCGTGAGGAAGAAAGGATGGGAAAGAGGCGAGGTGGCATTCATGCTACATTTCATTCCAAAGCCCATGTTACTTCGAAGCCCATTCATGAGCACCCCACACATTCACACACACACACACACACACACACACACACACACACACACACAGGCATTAGGCAGAGCTTCATGAAGAAATCCATTAATGAGAAGGCAAGACACTGTTGG